TTTTTCATGAGATTCTAATTTTATGACCAGCACCTGTATATGTGCATATTGAACATCAAACAATTCTCCAGCAGTAAACATGATTTAACTATTATCTACTTTTTTTCAGGAAATCAAGGAGAATTTCACAATAAAAGSTGCCAATGAGAAAGAAATGCCAGCATTGAAGGTTTTTACAGAATCCCTGAGATTCCTGAAGGATGATGCTCTGAAAACTGTCAGTGCCAACTGTTCAAATACAGAGTTCATGGCCTCTGACTTCACCTGGGTTCTGACAGTTCCTGCTAYCTGTGATGATTCAGCAAAACAGTTCATGAGAGAAGCTGCCACTCAGGTAACAAACAGCATGTTTTAAATACAACACTGATTACTGGGATAATGTACCATTTGTATTATCTAGCAGAAATAAGATGCAACGATATCTGATGTTCTTGTTTTATTTCTTCGTAAATAAGGTGATTACTGAAGCTTGACTTTGTTTGCTGAAGTTGTTTTTTGAAAAWGAGCAGCAGATACATAAGATTTTTTTCTTCACTCTGCATCCTTTTTATTCACGATTTGATTTACTTTTTATTTGTATTGTTTATAGATTTTCTTTTTAATGAATGAAATAAATTGAAAAAACAATTAACTGAAGCTCTGAAAGAGTCAAAGAACAGAAGTTTCATTTGTTTTCAGGCTGGTATTGAAGAGAATCTGATCATTGCTCTGGAACCAGTAGCAGCTTCAGTCTGGTGTSAGAAGCTTCCAGCTGATGGTTTCATCACGCAGAACCATAGTGGAGTTGTACTGGACCTGACCCCAGGAACTCAATACGTTGTTGTTTGCTGTGGAGGTACTGACCATAACACTGATATTACTGTTTCCTTTCTGAAGAACCAACCACCACCTACAGTGCTGTGAAAAGTATTCAGCCGCTCACTGCTGGTTTGTTTTAGATTTAATGACTTTAATRTTTCAGATCATCAACAAATATTAATACAAAGAACCTGAGTTCAAACTAAATACAGTTTTCATGATGTTTGGACAGATTTGTTCTTTAATAAATTAATTTACCATTTAATACAGGAATTTATTCAAGTTCCCTTTTTCTGATGTTATCATTCATTAATCAGAAACATTTAAGTGAAACAAAACCAGAGGAAACCTATGAGGAAGCTAAGTGCTTTCTAACATTACTTTAACTCTAAACTATATACACACTACTCACAAAAAGTTAGGGATATTTGGCTTTCAGGTGAATTTTATGGAAAATGTAAAAAGTTCACGCTACAGTGATATCATATCATGAAAGTAGAACATTAAGTAAAAGAATGCACTGGTGATTTCCTCATCTCAAACAATTTATTGAAACAAAAGTTGACAACAATGGTGGGTACACCCCAACAAAAAATTTCAGTGTCTCCATAACTCAAAATGTGCCCTTGATCATCAATTACAGCTTGACAACAATGTCTCATGCTGCTCACAAGTGGACTTATTGCCTGCCGGGGCATGGTATCCCACTGTTCTTGAAGGGCAGCCCTCAGGTC